CAAAACCCTGCGGAAAAAGTGCATAAGGTAGACTGGCTGGCCGCCGAGTATGTTCAGTTTTTAGGGTGTTGAGCTTCTCACCTTCTTGGTTCATTGGCGCAGTTGGCGCCATTGGGGCGCTGTCAAAGTCAAAAACCATGGAGGAAAGTCAGAAATCACGAGTCGAGAATCAAGAGGCGAACGTCAGGCAACGGCAGAGGCGGAGTCAGGAAACAGCGTGAGGGAAGTCAGAACCAGGCGATACGCAGCTGCATTCCACACTCGGCCACGAGAGTCTAGCTTAGGACGTAAGACCATCATGGTGATTTTTAAATGCTTTCACATTGCTTGCTGCAGTCGCCGTCGACTTAGTGGTTGTTCTTGTCCCCCTAGTGTGCTGAACCTGTCACAACAGGTTATTAGCTTCAGAAGTTCAAAAAGTGCCAGTTTCCACTGTGCCCGCCCTGGCAGCTACTCCTGGTGTCGTAAAGGAAGGAGTGCGTGAAGGACCCCCCAATGTTTCAACAGGCGGTCTACAAGGGATCCTAGGTAAAGTTCGCCGGGGTATCCAGCAATTATGTAGAATTTTGCAGCAGGTTAACAGTAACACCAGTTTGCAGTTTAAGCAGCAAGGCCTCAACGCTCTTTTCAATGTAGCTGCTAAGGCTCAAGCCAGGACGGTTGAGAAAGCCCAGCCTGAGTAGACAAGTGGTCTATGCCGCCAGATGATCTTAATACTCAAAGAAGGCAGGCTCGAAGACGCAAAAAGTTAAAATCTGAAATTAAGTGACAGCGCAGCGAAGCACTAGGTAGAAGCGCTTTCATGCATCGGCGGCTGGTGGTGTCACGCCGACACCGAGCGCACCATCGGTCATTAACATCCCCGCGCCGCCTCCTGGGCCAAGGTTGGTGCAAAGGGTGCAGCAAAGCAAATCGTCCAACAACCCTGTTGTGTTGACAAAAGGCCCGGGAGAGTTCCGACCTGGTTCGGAAATCTGGTGGAAGGACCTGGTGCGTCAGAAGACACTGAAAGGGTATGGACCTCCAGCCCGGAAAAGCTCGGAAGCGCCGAGGGGTAGCAGGGACCGCCCTCAGCAGAGTACAGCTACATGTGTTCGGAGGGAGGCAGCCCCAACACCCATCGCGCCAAATGTGGAAGTGGAGCTTGGTTCCTCCTATCTTGCAGATCAAGAGATTGCTGTTTCGAGCGTTCCGGTGTCAGAACCGGAAGAGGTCGAGGAGCTTCCAGGCTCCGCAGCAGCTATGAATAAGATCCTGACGCAGATTGTTTGCGTGTGACAGGCAAATCAACACAAGCCCAGATCTGTGCATCATTACCTGCCACTGGTAGTTTGGTTGCGCCAACTGCCAGGACACAATGGCTGGCTCAAGGAGCCAGTCCGTCTCCAATGGGTAGGCGTTGGCCGGCGCAGAGTTGCGTTTGACTGCTGCAAAGTGCAGCCGAGCATTAGCAGCCGCGTGGCAGTGAGAGCCACGCGGCAAGACTCTTCCCGGCCATCGCTGCTGAGGGTGTTGGTTCGAAGGATCTATTCACGGCGCAGGCCGATCCGCTTCGTGCTCCAGGGCATCTTTTTAGGAAAACTGCCGCTAAAGTCACTAAAGTTATCAGGGCCAGTTGTTCGTCGCAGTGCCCAGCTTCATTCAAGTCAATGGCGCGTCGCCGTACGACGTTGGCCTGAGGAACTTCGGTGTCAGACCTTGTTTGTCCAACGAAGTGACCTCGCTGCGCCTTTACGATATGCAGCGCTGGCGCAAATCGAGGCGAAGCCGAAGCCGCGCAGAAGGTTGGTCAACGTGTCCTCGTTTCAGGGGCATGGCAGGTAGGCCCCTGACTCTAGGGCCAGGGACCTTTACAGTCTGGCATACCAACGATGCCCGGATGTCCATCAAAAACTGATGACACATCGGCCGCAGATGTTGGCGCAGGAAACCAAGGCTAGACATGAATCTCCCCCCGTGGTAGAGACTACTCAGAGCCGAGCATGGGCACCCTGGTGAAGGCAGCGCCAGTGACCAGTGGTAGAGCAGTAAGGCCAGTCCATGGGTAGAGTCCACTCACCAAGGGCCAACCGGCCAACGCGTAGGGCCAATCGGTGAGTCTGCTCACCACTCTGTTTCACCTTTTCATTAACAGGTTGAAACAGAATAATGTTCCATCTTTAGATGAGTCTGACTCCTGGATGGGTGGCCAAAGTGCCAAGGCACCTTGTAGCCTGGAAAAGAAAGAAAACAAAAGGATGCAGGGGTCAGACTCTGTGTGAGCCGAATCTTTCCGGCAGTCTACTTCCATTGCGCAGACGCTAGGGTACATCTTGTTTTGACAACTCACGGCGATGCCTGTTATGGGCTTGTACCGAGACAGGGCAAGCAGTGATTCGGAAGCTCCTTGATCGCTTCGAAGTCGGACGACTCGAAGTTGGCATTCGGCATTTCTGTGGAAAGCAGTTTGACAGGGAAGAGCAAGACATACTGATCGACGTGGCCGACAATACTACACGCGCTACCTATATCGACGTTGGTAAGAGTCGAAAAGTCGAGGAGAAAATCACACCTGGCGAAGAAAATATAACGCAGTGTAGTGGTCGTGGCTGGTGTCCAAGTATGTCCGGGCGCAATGCAATTTGTATTGTACAGTCACACCTCAGTTATAGATTCGTCACATGTAGAACTGGCTGATTGTGAACTACTTTGTGTATGTAACCACGTTGACTCATGTGTACATCTATGGGCCCGGCGCCACTATGGCTCAGTAGGTGCCCCTTGAGCTTGCCCACGCTCCGCAGTTAAAAAAAGGGACTGGCAGTCCAATTCAGACAAGCCCTCGCGGGGTACTGTTGTTCTGGCATTTCCGCTCCAACTCGAAATTTCGGGTGGACACTTGTGTATTCTAGACATTTCTAGACCAAAGATGAGCAAAGCGCCGTCCTTCACAGCAAAAAAAAGTGCCCGGCCTCTGCAGCAAAAATGACCGGGCCCGGATTCCACATGCAATAAATCGTCCGGCCTCCCTAGAAAAAAAATAAACGAGCGCGGCCTTGGCAGCAATAGACGCAAGATCTGTAGAAAGCATACGTGTGGCGCGCATGGAGCACCTAATGGCTGCCAAGAACAGGTTAGAATCCTCCCATCCTTGTTATTTTGAATACCTAGTCACTTCGATACCCTCTGATACGTATGGGGTGGCTCATGTGTTTTGTTGTCATACACAACAAGGAATCAGCCAAGTAATGAACATGGGGCACCCCTTTACGCTGTTACTTTCCAGCTTGCAGCCATGTCTGCATGTTGGTGGTGGTTGACGATGGTGCCCCCTGTCGAGCGTTTCACGCGCATCGGGCTGTGGCGTGGGACGTCCTCATATTTTCTTGCAGAATCGCGCGTGGAGCGTTATTGTATTTTAACACAGAATTGCGCTGTCGCGTAGAGCGTCCTCATATGCTCATGCAGAATTCACGCTCCGGTGTGGGGATTCGTTGTATTCTCATTTGAAAATTGCGTTCTCGCGTGGAGCGTCCTCGTAACGCGCTCGGCGCTTGCCCTCCACAGCAAAAAATAAACGTGACCGGCCTCCATAGCAAAAACGTAAATGTGACCGGCCTCCGCAGCAACAAGAAAACATTGCCCGGCGTCGGCAACAAAAAAAGCGCCCGGCTTCCACAGCCAAAAAGCGCGCCAGGTCTCTATAACAAAAAAATCCACAGCAACAACCATTTTTGCCGGTAAAATTTCATTTAAGAGCATTTTTGAAACAAAAGGCCGAAATCTTGAAGTCAAATCCAATGATCAACAAAAAATTTCAAATAATGATGCAGAAAACATGAGCTATTATTCGAAGAGGGTTTTCCAGCGAATCGAAAGGTGAAGCCTTTCACGCAAGGTCCATAGAAGAAACTCAGGAAACAATGTTTGAGCATTTACATCTTAATACATTTTCATCAGCAATGCTCTTTAAGTGGAGATGTGAGTTTCTGATTTTGCTTTAGCTTCTGGAGCCTCATAATTTGAAACTAAATCTCAAACCGAAACCTTGTCATTTTCTGGGTCTGAGGGTGATTTTCTTTGAATGAAAGGTTTTGTTTGGCCCGAAAGCTTCGGCTTTTGAATGTATCTTGGACCCCCAGTTTGGTCCAAAAAATCCTGTAAACCTGGGCTGTTTAACCAATCGAGAGCACGGATTATTCAAACTGTGTTGAAAATCTTTTCTACAACGTTTTCATCGTGAAATCGGATAAGCAGCAAATTTCGCTAGGGAACAAGGTTGTTTCGGCAAATTCCAAATGTTGTATATCTCTTCCTTGTCTCATTTAGGTTAAACTTGGGGCGGTGAGGAGATCGGAAACACCTTCTGAATAAACCTGTTCCAGCAGGCTTCACTTTTCGCACGCCTCGTACAGGTACTGGATGTTGGATGCGTGGTATTAGTGCCATCATATCCTGCTTGCATACTTTAATGCGCCCAGCACGAGCCTCCAAATGCAATGCTGCACAGGACAGGACAAAGGGCTTTGTGTTTTTGTCCCCGTGATAGGTCACATTAGCACTTTTGCCGCTAGGAGGGTTTGTGATTGGCCAAGGGTGAAACCGTAGAGAGAAAAATCCATAGCTGAGGGGAAATCTTGAAGGACATCCAACCTGACGATCCTCTGCAGCGCTGTCCAGTTCTGGTAACACCTATCATACAGACACGTGTAAAAGGGGTGATTGGCCGTAGACGGTCACATTAGCACTTTTGCTGCTAGGAGGGTTTGTGATTGGCCAAGGGTAGAACCGTAGAGAGAAAAATCAATAGCTGAGGGGAAATCTTGAAGGACATCTAACCTGACGATCCTCTGCAGCGCTGTCCAGTTCTGCTAACACCTATCATACAGACACGTGTAAAAGGGGTGATTGGCTGTAGACCCTGCGTTGAGACCCTCCGTGCATTGTTGATTGCGTCAAACGCGCAACATGTGACAGTGCTTCCTTTCCGACGGGTGTGCGTGATGCTGCTGAAAGCTCAGGTGTTGCGAAAGGAGAAGGAGAGCATGGAGGTCATGGCCAAGATGGCAAAGGCAATGCCAACCATCTGCGAAGCTGCATGGACTGCACTGCGTGCAGAATGCATGTCGCGAAATTCCATGCCAGAAAGACATTCAGAAGACCGTCATTAAGGACCAGCATATCTTTCGTGAAAAAAGTGTAAGTTTTTTCTAAGCGTTGTCCAGTGCAGGAGCTTGAGAGCCGGATGGAGTTTGAAAAAGGCAAGAAGAAGCAAGAGGAGCAGCAAGCGGCAGAATGCTGCAGAACTTAGCTTCCATCGATTCTGACATTAGCTAAGAGGAGAACTTGAAACGTATGAAAGAGCTGAAAAAAGAAAGAGATGATAAGCTGAAGGCAGCTCAGAAGGAGGCGCAGCGTGCGGGGGTTCTTGATCTTGAAGCATTAACAGCTGGTCCAAGGCAGAGAAGCGAAGGGAAAAGTCCAAGGAGGTCTCAATGACATCTTCAAGCCTTTAAAGAGGCCTTTTCTGCGAAGCGTTTAACGCAAAGTTCTTTAAAGGCGCGAGACAGAGCTGATCGACAGCTGCAAGCACATTGCGAAGAGCTCCGGCAGCAGCTCCGGGAGGCCAGGGCTCGGCTCGTTCGGTCTCAGAAGTGAAAAAAAAACAAAAGAACAAACGAGTTGAGATGAAGTGGAAAATCTTCACTTTAAAGTGTGCGATTCCCCACTCATGTTCTCTTCTAACCATTACGGGGCTATTACGGACTGCCGCGGAGTGCTAGGCTGACGAGCGCGTAGCAAAGTGCCTGGCTGACATCCGGCAAGCACACGATGACTCCATCGAGTCCAAGCAGGAGCATGTTGGGTACTCACCACGGGAGGGGTGGCGGGGCTCTTTTTCACTCAGGTGAAAGGCATCGAAGCTCGGAAACAGAAGGTGGACTGCTGCAGTGCCATGTACCCGGTCGCGCAGAGCTGCCACAATTTCATCTTTGTTTCAGGCCGCCTTCGAAGACCTGCTGCTGCGCAAGCGTGAGGAACGCGAGCAAAGAGAGATTGTGCAGCTGCTCGCGAAATTTTCATGGTGTTTCATCGCATTTATGTTCGCGCAAGGAGATGCATGATGAAATTGAGGATAAGCATGCAAGGAAGCGCCAGCTGCCAGCTCCTTTCTACAGAGCTTTCCATGAATCTTCTTCGAGCTTAGATTTTAAGGATTGCGGATCTGCTGGGCCAGAGGCATGCATCAAAATCCTCACGCTTGCGCGACTCTTCACGCATTTCAGCCGCAGATGTTTTCTGCCTGAGGGTCTCCAACAAGGAGGCCATGCTCCAAAAGGAGCAAATGTGTCGCCAGCGAGCCGGTGCCTCAAAAGCAACAGCTTTACAGCCGTCTGAATTTTAGTGACGTTGCCACCGTTTGAGGTGGCGGAGTTCTTGGCAAAGCAGCAGGCCGCGAAGTCAACCACTAGGAGCTGGTAGAAGGGCTTCGTACATGCTGATGTTTGATGCGGTTGCTAGAATCGTGGCTCTGCAGCGAGTTTGCCAGGCCGAGAACGAAGGGAAATATGTAGATGCGCGGGAAAGACACAGCAAGGCCAGGCAGCATTCCATCCGAAGGTATGCCAGCCTGGAAGCCTAAGGCTGAGCTCTTCCGAAATGACAAGTTGAAGGAAAGGCTGAAAGACTTCAAGGCAAAGATGCCTTTGACAAAAATGATGCACCTTAGCTGATCTCGTGGCCAGACAGCAAACAGCAAGAAGCGGCAAGCCTTTGTATCAAGGCAGGACTGTGCAGTGAGCTGCCTGGCTGCCTGAAGTATGAAAAGCTGATGCAGGTACGAGCGACTGCTTACTGAAAAGGAGAAGGAGCACGAGGAGTTCAGGAAAAGCTGGGAATCGAGGCAGAGAGTGGAAGAGGGCCAAACTCCTCTTTTCGCTGGTACCGCCTCTGAGGAGTTTGCAGCGCTCAGCATCCGAAACGTCCGGAGCTCGGGAAAGCCATGGAGGAGCATCGGAGGATGGAGCCGTGGCAGGCTGCGGAGAAAAGAGAGGCCCGAGCTCCTGAAAGCAAGGGAGGAGGCCGAGCACTTTGCTCGAGCCTCGGAGCTCCAGGGAAAGCAGAAAAAGAGCAGTCACAAGACCAGCATTTACAGCAGCAGTCACCTCCGCCTGTCACAGACTTTCAGACTTTCAGGCTGCCCTGGCAGCAGAGAACCGCGAGCGGCTGCGGCGGGCTACTGGCCTCAAGTCCGAAAGACTTCGAAGCCAACCGACACAAAAACGAACAACCCTCTCCACTCACACACAACCTCTCTAAAGAACACCTCCTTTTGAAGAGTTGAGTAGAGTACTTTCGATTAACTTCTTCTGACAAAGGTTGGAGTTTTCCTTAGGCGAATGCTTACGCTGTGGACCAGCAGATCGAGAAGCTGCTGGCCATCCGTCAGCGGGCCCAGGCGAGCTGTGACCAAGAAGTGGCCTGCAGAATCCAAAATGCCCAGCGCTGCCCAGTGGTTTGAAGCTTCTTTGGAGGTTCTGGAGGACAGCAAGGCCGACGCCGACCGGTGCCTGGCACAGCAATGCACACCAGGTCATCAAGTTCGGCAAGCTTTGCAGGATATGTGGGTCCTCCAGTGAATGCTTCATAAGGCGGCGCATGGTCGTGCTGCGGAATACCGCCGTCACCAAACATGAGCTGCAGCATAAGGCTCAAGCAATGGAGCTGCATTGCTTTGCAAGATTCCCGTTGCGTCAGGTAGATCGCTTCAAGGATGTAGGCACGCTGCCTGACATGTTGGGCTTTGTGCGAAAGTGGCTAAGCAAGGAGTGGACAAGATGCTGAAGCTGCTGGAGGATGTGGAGATTGAGCCAGAGGCCGCGAAGAGGCCTTGCTTCTGCACGTAACACTCCAGCAATCTTGTAGAGTCGTAGATGAGGTTCCCTGTTGAACAGCTAGGATCAATGACATCCTCGCTGAGCTCAGCTTGCCTCCGCTTGGCGGGCAACTCGATGGCTCAAAGATGCAGAATAGCGAATAAAGCAAAAGAAAGCAAAAGACCTTGTGTCTTTGTGTCCAGGTGGGTACTCGCAGGAGGAGGAAAAGTAGGCTCCCAGCTGCCGCTGCACCTTGCAAGTGGCGTGGCCTTGCAGTGTAAGCAGGAGCATTGTGTGAGAAATGCACTGGGCGAGATGTTTCATGAAGCGCATGGGGACGGGATGCTTCCAAGAAGCTGGTCCCCAGTGCTTCGACGTGCTTCGGCGTGCTTCGGCTTGTGCGCAACTCCTGAGCTTGCTGCACTTGCCTGCTCCGACAAAGTCGGTGACCGCTTGGAAGTTTGAGAAGTCACTGAAAAACGTGGGAAGTCACCATTGACACCAAGGGGTGGGGGGTTGAGACGGGCTGAGCTGTCGGGCCGCTGCTATCGGATCCAGAATCCTACTTGTGGGAACAACTTAAAACAAGCACAGCAATGTCACACCAGATGCACATCGGCCAAGCTGGAAAGCCAGGAAGGTCAGCGGAGACATTGAAGATCGCAGAGCCATGGCGCATGCTGAGGAACTTCCATGGAGGGAAGAGAAAGCAAGAAGGACAAGGACCGCAACAAGAAAGGCAAACCCACAAGCTGTAAACAGTCCTGCATGGCAGGGACAGAGATGCCTGGGTTCTCTTCGTTCTCATCCTGGTGAATTTCTTCTCCTGCCAATTCGGACATGGATCGAACATTGGGGTGGCTGTCTCGCTGCCCGGGCGGGGCCCTCGGCTGCGTACGGCTTGCCCCATTCGGCACCATTGAAAAGGCAATCAGGCAGAGCAAAATTGTGAATGAACCATCATGCAAAGTTACATGATGTTTCACTGACAATGCTTGGATGGGTTTGAGGGCTTATGACCTCCCTATATACACCAAAATTGTCGGGATGCTCCGCACGCCAGCGCAATTTTTGATGAATCATCAACGATTTTTTGAGGATGCTCCGCATGCCAGCGAGATTTCATTTAATACTTCAAGGATGCTCCGCACGCCAGCGCAAGTTTAGTCAACATTTTCAGGATGCTTCGCACGTGAGCCCAATTTTGAATGACAAATCGATGATTCTGTTTCTTCGAAATTTTTAGGATGCTCCGCACGGGAGCGCAATTTTCAATATTTTCACGGGAGGGCGATTTACTTCAAGATTTTCAGGATGCTCCGCAGGGGAGCGCGAACGAAGAAGTTGACGAACGCATTACTGCAATGACTACCACGATGCTCCTTGAGCGAAGAAGTCGACGAAATGTTGAGGATGCTCCGGACAGCAGCGCAAATTTTGAGTATGATCATCAAAATTATCCGAATGCTCGCCATGTGCTGTCGCCCGCCTCCTCGCGGCTCTTCTTCCGTCGCGCAAACATTTCGTACCCTATTTCGCTCAAAAATCGCGCTCTTGCTCTGAGCATCCTCAAATTTTCGTGGTCTTTATAACGTTCCAAGTTCTCAACATTTTCCCCTTCCCCTTTTAGATTGGTCTTCTAGACCGACCTGGATGCGAATTGGACGCGCGCCGATTTTCTAAAATCGTGCTCCCGCGCGGGACATGGGCCATGTTGCGATTGAGCAGAATAAACTTAGCGATTGAAGAAAAGGAAAAAATACGATTGATCAAACCCGAATTCTGCAATTGAAAAAATGAACATATGTGATTTTTTGCAAGAGACTGCTGCGCTTGAAAAAAGAGTCTTGCGATAGATTGTTGGACAAAACCAAGCTGCGATTGAACAAATTAATTGCGATTGAATTTTTCCAATCTCTGAGCTGTTGGGTTTGGACTTCTGCAGGCCATGTATTTTTTGGGGACTTTTGCAGCCCAGGTATCCTTGGGGGCAGCTGCAGGTATTGGATCATAGCGTGTCCGTAACGGCGTTGGGTGGCGGATCAGCCACCAGGATCAGCCCATGGTCGTAATGGATCAGTGGCTCCCAGCCAACTGGATCGCACAATCTGCACGTAACAGCTCAGGCCTGTCAGATCAGGGAGCCAACAGCAACAATTACTGCTGACCCTAAACCTTATACCCTAAACCCTCTCGCGTAGGCCTAGGGGCTCTACCACGGAGTTCACACAGGGGTCCCTTTTACACACAGCAAGCACAAACAAGAGAACAAGAGAACATGTCCTGAGTTCTACCCTACAATCTCTACAATTTAAAAATACATGCTGTGTG